ACTTGACCATCCCGAACTCTGTGACCCACATTGGGGAGCATGCCTTTGCGGATTGCATCTCTTTGGCGAACTTGACCATCCCAGACTCAGTGACCTACATTGGGGAATCTGCCTTTTTTTAGATTGCAGCTCTTTGACGAACTTCACGATCCCACCCTCAGCGCCCCACATTGGACATTTTGTCTTCCAGAATTTCAGCTCTTTGGCGAGCTTGACCATCCCAGACTCAGTGACCCACATTTCAGATGGTGCCTTTGCACATTGCAGCGACCTACATTGGACATCAAGCCTTTTCAAACTGCGCTGCTCTGGTGTTGAGAGTGTCCATCTCTGGGACTAGGATCGAGATGCACAAGCTACACACCTTAGAAGAATCATGGTAACAGAGTTTCACTGTCGTGAATGCAAGCACAGCCAGCTGGTTTGACAGTGACAGTGACACACAACAATGGGTTTCATGAACGGTGACACTCTGTTACCATGAACGAGTGTCCCCTCTGAACAGTTGGGTTTGTCCCGGTGCCACTCGCTGTGCCCACCCCGTCCGGAGCTACCGCTGCGACCTGGTGAAAAGAGAGGCGCGGCGCTGCAACAGCGCTCGCCTGGCGGTCACCTGGCGGTCGTCTGACCCAGAAGACTGGAGAGTCGACTGGTCCGAACTTGAGTCAAACTTAAGTCCAAACATGTCGACATGCTTCGTGTGACTCGATCCAATTCCCTGACCTCGACCCGGGTGAACTGTCACCAACTTCAGTGAAAGTCCCGACCTGAGGGCCTCCAGCAGATTAATCAAATTCCTGACTTGATCAACTCCGGGCAGACTCGACCAGGATGGATTCCCGATCCTTTGGCGTTTCACCCCGAGGTTGATCACGTCTTCTCCACCGCCCGCTTGGAGATGAAACATGAGAGGTTTGACCGAAGCCAACAAAATTGGACCCCGGTTTCCTATTGTTGGTTTGACCCACCGGTGTCCAACCCAAACGCTTCGCTCTACAGGTCGTTGAAGTGCTTCCTCGCGTGTATCCCTTGGTGCTGGGTGAACTGGAGCCTAGACCGCCAGCAGCGAAGACACAGGGCAAGGCGGGGAATCAACTGCAGGCACTGCGTGCCTTGGCATTCTAGATCGTGGATGGGGATGGAGCTGTGACAGGGGGATGGAGCTCTCAGTTTATATTATAGGCCATGGCTCTCTATGATCATGCATGTTCCAAAGTCACTGGCAAAAGAAGTGTACACATAGAGTTCTGCATATATGTCTTGCAAGTAAACATGTTGGGTAAACCGGGGGGGCCATGCTGAGGGCTAGACAACCATGGGTTTTATAGAAAAAATAGCCTTTCGGGCCACTCAACTCATCGCGTTGGAGTTCACAAACTCCAAAACAATGACTTGAGTGGATTTGCCTCGTCATCAGCTCATCCTACGCATCATGCCCGTAACGCATCAGCGAAACGCATCAGCACATCATCCGCATCATGGTTGTTCAGCATCAGCGCAACATCCGTGTCATGGCACGTAGCGCATCAGCTACATCACCATCACCATCATCATCATCATCATCATCAGCGAAGTGGATCATTTGCATCTCACCAGACCATGTTGGGTCATCGGAAAGGTGGCCTTTCCGGGCAAACCGGCAAACCCCCCCGTTGACCCAACATGTTGCAACTTGAGGCTTTGCACCTGGACACTACCTGCAGATGATGGATGCCAACATGGGAGCCTTCTTCGGGGAGGCCAGTTTGGCTGCTGAGGCGTTTAGGTTTTGCACTCCCACGCTGGTTCTTTCGCGTTGCAGTAGAGAAGTGGCTGCAACAGCGAGGTCAAGGATTTTTTTGGATGAGAAGTGGCCATCCTTGGCTTCAACCAACTTTGCGTGGAGCCGTAGTTCCACCATCTACGACCTTTCGCTGTGCTCTTCATTGAGTCCATCCTTCCCCGGGGCGCGTGCTTGCTGACATGTGTTTCAGAGCCCCTCCCCGTTTTTTCTTTACCACCACGGTTGCCTTTTCAATTTTAGACAGTGTCCACATCCACACGCCTACCCCTGCCTGGGATCCTACCATATCATATACTATCATTTACTATCACAAATATGGCCTATAACCAGCTAAGAAGATACACTGTATAGTGAGACCAGTAAGGCCTGCCTATGCCTGCCTGATATGTCACGAGCGATATACTCGCAGGCCTGCAAAGTGCCTTTCATCCTGCAGCACTTCCAGCCCGCGGGCAGCGATCGCAGGAGAGTGCTCCCGTGCCGATGGGTAGCGCATGGGCGCGTGGGCGCGTGGTGGTGCATGAGACAGACATGCGTGCGTCCATTTGTGCCGATGCCTAGAAAATGCAAGTCCCAGGCATGCCGGTCAAGATTGAATTATCCACATCATCCACCTGCGACCTCGCGAGGTCGCAGCTGATTCGGGATCAGCCCTCCATGGAGTACATCGTAGCACTCCTCCGTGTAGAGTCACGAGCAGGATGAGGTTGTCAGAGTTCACGGACAACCTATATATAGGTACCTTAATTTAATAGGGAGACCTCCAACCAGCCAATAGGTTTCGTTTATTTGCCCTTCTTCCAGGGGTAGAACTGGCAGCCCTCCCTAGATATTTCAATATACCCATTTACTAGACACCTTGCAAGGACCTTCATTGGATTTGGCCAGCGGACCAGGCAGTTCGTGCCATCCCAGCATCGCCTTCGGCGGTCGCAGCGCCGACCGTTCCGTCGCCAGGACGGTCCAGGCTCGGATCATCGGTTTCCGAGAACACATCTTCACTGGCAGCCATGGAGCTGTAGGCGCCGATGGAGATGGGTTGTGGAGATGGGACGGTTGTGTGTGGTGAAGATGGGCTTCGGTGCGTGAGGAATGGATGTGATGAGTGTGAGATCTCCCTGCACGAGGATAGAAGGTGGACTGTCCAACAACCCTTGCTGTGGGAGGAACTGGTTTTCCAGATAGGTTTTGAGAATGTTGGACATATGTTACGATCCACTGAAATGCAGTGGTTGCCCAAGTACGGGGGCACCGTCACGTACTATCAATATCTATCAATTAGATATCCAAGTCCAAATCATTAAAGTTCAATTAAAGTTAAAGGCTTCCTTTGAATCTCAAGTCGCCGGTACCTGGATCTCAGTCTCACGAAGAACTACCCCCCACTCGGCTTCCTGTTCCATTTCTCAAGTGGGCGAGTGTGACCGACGCACGGTGGTTCTTTGAACCATGCGAGTCTAACCCAGATGTTCGTAAGGTGGTGCATTGTGACATAAGGTGATGCATTGTGACACATATTCATATAATACTAAATATATAATTCCTAATATGCATATTTTAATTATATACAATGTACAACAACCTTTTTGATCTCCCTCTTTATCCCTGAGGTAAATCCTCTGTCACCCACCGGTCACATGAAGCTTTTCCACCCGGTTCTTGTGTTGCCTGGTGATCACCCGGTGACGTCCAAACGAGGCGCCGCGATGGCCGATGCGGAGTGGACCTTCGGCACCATCTGCCAACGCTTCCTGGCGGGCCTCGGCGCGCGGATGCACTATGGGCCTCTCGGTGCACGCAAGCAGACTCGGCGCGGAGAAGGGGCGGTTTGGGGCGGAGGAAGAAGGCGGGACATGGTCAGTCCAAATCGGGAGAGAAAGGACCAACGAAAAGGCTCCACATGGTCGTACGGGCACCGCGACCGTGATAGCCGATATCGCTTCATGCAGGAACGTCACGATCGTCACATGCTGGCATGTTCCATCGCTGGGCGGACGGTCTGGCAACCGTTTGGCCGTAGCGTCGGGTTGGCGGCTCGCGAGTGGAGTGCACTACAGTCTCTACAAGCTGCAGAGTACACTGGACCAGAAGGCCAGACTATAGTGGTGCTAGGGCTGCTATGGCCATCAGAATCATCACATCGCGCACACTCTGACATTGGTTTTCAGTTACACTCAGTTCCCACGTTGAGAAGGAAGGCGATGGAACGGCATGGTGAAAGGTCCAAAGACTTGAAGGTGTTTTAACATTCAGGTTTCTCATCTGCAGTGGTGCGACGACGACGCGCGCGAGCGGCGAGGGAAAGGGTTTAGGGGAAGTAGCATGAACCACCATGGAAACAAACAATGAAAGAGTGGAGTGACAGCTTGTACAACAGTTCGGCAGGTACGTTTGCAGCCCCCCCAGTGGCCTCTTCGTTGGCCATCCGCCACTGGGGAGGGGGATGGCCCCCTGCCTTGTTAAGTGGTGGTAATGGAAACGGTGGCATTGGACCCTTTGGTACAGGGGGTGACACACACACATAGCTGTAGTCGGCGCGGTCTCCCCTAGCAAAGTAGTAGTGAGGCCAGGGGCCTCCAGTAGCGTCCTGACTCCCCGGGGAACATTTGTACAGAAAGCGCCAATTGTTGGCATAGCGAAAAACTATTAGTCACCTAAAAAGCCTAAGAAAGACAGACAAAGCAAACAAAACAAAAGCAGACTAAGAGGGTAAGAAAGAATTATAGGTGTAGTTGCGAGGCCCACTTAGTTAAACGAAAGTAGTTTGCGAGCGGGACATTCGTCTTAAACCGCCCGGGTAGCTAGCAATAGACTAGGAGAAACAGAAGGAAAGGCACCAACACACAAGTGTGTTGAGTGCGATTTCCTTCTGTTGCTCAGTAGCGGGTGGGATAGCAGAGGAGATCCAGGGGCAGGGAGGGGGTGCATGATTAATTCGTCCGGCCTGTGAATACTTAGCAGAGTGACATGGACGGTGAATACTTAACGGCATGTGGCAGACTGAGAGAATCCCGTTTTTTGGCCCGGCGGCCTTGGAAGCAGTAAATTCAGTTAAGGTTGATCAAGTGGTGAATTCCTGTGAGAAGTGGAAAAGCTCAGTTACACGATTTCCGGCATGAATTCAGCGCCCCAGTGACGGGGATCACACTCAGCACCCGAGTGGGACGGCTGAGCGAAACACACTCTGACATTGGTTTTCAGTTACACTCAGTTCCCACGTTGAGAAGGAAGGCGATGGAACGGCATGGTGAAAGGTCCAAAGACTTGAAGGTGTTTTAACATTCAGGTTTCTCATCTGCAGTGGTGCGACGACGACGCGCGCGAGCGGCGAGGGAAACGGTTTAGGGGAAGTAGCATGAACTACCATGGAAACAAACAAAGAAAGAGTGGAGTGACAGCTTGTACAACAGTTCGGCAGGTACGTTTGCAGCCCCCCCCAGTGGCCTCTTCGTTGGCCATCCGCCACTGGGGAGGGGGATGGCCCCCTGCCTTGTTAAGTGGTGGTAATGGAAACGGTGGCATTGGACCCTTTGGTACAGGGGGTGACACACACACAACATCGCAGAACTACTATAGACCATCTTGCTACTGATAGGCCCTACATGGCCCTACGGACCCTTACCGATTGCACAGTGACCTTCATACGGAACAACGACTGTAGGGGCTTTAATTCTCCCTAGTACATGAGGTGGTTGGTTGGAACTCCAAGGCATCCGGACTTCTTGGACGGCTTTTGGGCCTCCAATCGCGGCTCGATGTCCAAGGCTCGGAAGAGACATGAGATGAATAGATGACCCTCACTTTTGTCCATCCGTCCATCAGTTCTCCATCAGTTTTTGGATGATTTTGGATCTCTTTTAATTGATTTCTTTCTTACTTTTCTTTGAGGGACAGTGTGTCAGTGTCAGTGTCACGTGTGTGTCTGTGTCCTGTCCAGGCATCTCCCGTGCTGAACCTGTCCGAGGACATCTTCGCGGGCTTCAACGTACTCATGCGTGGCTTGGCAGCGGATGACTGGAGACAGGGCATTGGTCAAGTGCCGATGAAACGGAGACAAGTGATAAGTAGTGAAAAATGCACAACAAGGTTGCGCTTCACACTGATTACCGGGTAATCACTGTGATTTTGGATGCTGCACTGCTTCTGGTTGAATGGGGGTGCTTTTCAACTGGGTTGGTGCATGGACGGGTGTGGGCTCCTCTTTGGGGTGCCCTCTTCCGAAACCTCAGGTGGTGAGCGGTCCACACACGTGGACTGTTTGGAGTGGGAGAAGGGCAGAGAAGTCTCCTTCAACTCGGCCTCGTTGTTCTTCACCAAAGTGGCCAGTGGAAACGTGGGAGTGATGCGCTCTCGCGATTTGAAGACCCTGCAGCTTGGAGAGATAAAGAAATGGGAGGTGGACACATGACGCTCACTTTGGAGCTCAACGTCACATAATCACATACCAAGTCAAGTGCATCATAGTGCGTCCAAGGTCGCTGCTTGGGTGGCACTTTATGTTCAAATGCTGTAGACAGCTAGCTCAGCTACGGACGACCCCAAAGGGTTTTTTTCCTGTGTTTGGTGTTGGTGTGAACGAACCTGGGTGCTAAGGACGGGTAGCATGAACATTGCAGACAGCTTCTCCTTCTACTTCGCGTCCGTGGGCTTTTATCTCTACAACGTGGTCACGGATATCTCCATGAGTGCGTATGCCACTCGCCAAACACCTCCAGCCTGTCACTCCAAAACTGGCACCGGGCGACAAAAACGGCCATGGTCTAACATGGCAACCTGAAATGGCTGAGCATAGACGATAGACCTATCAGCTTGAGCTTCAGCGCTTTCATTTATGGAAATAATCCGTGTACAATTTTGTACCCGTTGAGATCCCAAAAGAATCCCGTATACATATACTGTAACTAGGTTGCGGTTCCCCAGGTCGCCTGGTGTAAACAAGGCGCCTGGGGAAGTGCTCGATCATTCCCACACGATTTTTCTCACTTGGTCAGCTGGGCGATTTGTTTCAAGAACTGAGCACGTTACCGGACTGACTCTACAGCCGTTACCGTGGATAGACAGCGAGAGAACAACGTGACACGGGACGAAGTGAATCGATGCCGTGATAAATGTTTGGCAAAAACTAACAGCGCCGAGGTCGCGTTTCAAGCACTCGGACCAAACTTCACACCAACAACGAAACAAATCCTGGGAAAAATCCGCTAAAACCGAATATTGTAACACCCACCGATCTTCATCTAAAGAACATTTCAACACAAAAGCACAGACGTCGTCCAAGTCCCGGGGCGCTAATTCGATCAAAGAATCTAAAACATACGGATCCACTACGAAGAACGGCTGTAAAGGAGTCGGAAAGTCAAAACAAGCTAAACTTTGGTCACATTCGAACGCCAACCGCAACAACAACACACTACACAAACCTAAAACTGCGTCAGAATCCATGAAGCCAAAACTTGCAGGGCATTGAAACATGAAACGAACCCCCCCCTTTCCCTTTCCCCCCCCCCCCTGAAAAGTAGAGCCTACCTGTACAGGGTTCCACTCTAACAGCTGATATAGTGTGTCCATGCTTGACTGCTTCAAGGCTCAAAGAGCAAGAGGATAAGACTCTGCGCATAAAAGACACTAGCGGTCTGCACCTCTACCGTGTACGCCCTAGTCACTCTTTCAATCTCTTTCAGTGGTAGCGGAGCTGTGATCCTGGAAGACCCAGGTGAGCTCCTTTCCTAGGCATAGACTTGCTAGTGGGCAAACAGCCATGGATTGGATAGACGACTGGGAAGAGCCTGATGCGGATGTGGCTTATGAGCCAGCAGCCTACGTGAATAGGCATGTGAGAAGAGAACCAGCAGCAATAGCTATGACAACACAGGTCACTACAAAGGTGCCCCCATCTTATGATGGAAAGACTTCATGGTTTTCCTATGAGGATGCCATAGACGATTGGTGTGATATCACCGAGCTGGAAGATGAGAAGAGAGGACCAGCATTGAGAAACAGATTAGAAGGAGAAGCAGCTGTATACAAGCGTGTTTTAGACAGAGATGCATTGAAGGCAAATGATCCACCAGGAGCCGGCGTAGAATATTTCAAACGAGTACTACGACCATATTTCGTGAAAGGATCAACCAATGTATTCCTGTATAGGTTCATGCAATTCGTGCGCTTCAATCGAGGATCAGCTGACATGATGAAATGGATGACAAGATTCCAGATTTTACTCCAAAGGCTTATGAGCAGTTGGATGGACATGTTAGAACCAGTCACTCAAGCACATCCACAAGTCCTAGCACAGATGCAGGCAGATGCAGCGTTGACTGGAGTAGCACCAACGGCAGAAAGGATTCAGGAAATCATGCAGAATGTCAATGGCAATATGAGAATTCTTCATCAGAATGATTTTCCTTTAGGAGAAAATCTCATTGCCTTACTCATGCTGTCACTTGCAGATTTGTCTCAGGACCAGCGAAACACTTTGACTTCTTTGATGACTCATCGTGGCAGGGTCCTGCAGCAATACACTACAACAGAGTTGAGGACAGTGTTCATCGAGATGTTCTGCACAACAAAGACTTCAGTAGACAATCCTTTGATGCAGCCGACAGGTGCTGGAGGTAGAAGATCATTTCTCGTACTAGACGAAGGAGAACTCGATGGTACATTTGGCTATTGGGCCGAAGATGAAGAAGATGGAACTGAAGGATTTTTAGATGCCCTGGACGATGTCTTTTGGGTATATGATGATCAAAACTTCTCATGGTTCCAAAGGAGATTCCAAGGAAGAAGAGCCAGAAAAGGCAAAGGAAAAGGAAGAAGAAAAGGAAAAGGTAAAGGAAGATCAGGCCGCAGATTCTTCAGACCTCGTGGAAAAGGAAAAGGAAAGAGACGAGGTAAAGGCCATTTTGCTGATGAGCAACAGACAACATATCCAGAAGAGTACTTTGAAGAGAATCCTTATGAGGACACTTGGGAGTCAAACCAAGTAGCATATGATGCCATTCTTGCCGAAGATATGAATGACTATCTTCAAGGAGAATATGATGATGCCAATGACTTTTGGCAACAGCTTGAAGAAGCATGGTTTTCCCACAAAGGAAAAGGAAAAGGCAAGAGAAAAGGCAAGAAAGGAAAAGGAAAAGATAAAGGAGATGGCAAACAAGATGCAAACTATGCAAATCAACAACAGCCACGTTCTTTACCTGCACCTTCAAGATCTTCACAAGCATCAGGAGGTCAACAAGGTTTCTTTGCACATTGCGTGACAGCAGCAGCTGAAGTCCATGACAGTGAGGTGGACTTGCTGTCAGGCATGATGACCTCATGTCAAGATGAAGCTGACTGCGCGGTCAACAATGGTGAGACTATCTTCAATGGCATGGGTGCCCCTGTGAGGTACTCTTTGTCAAGGGAGATGCTCACAAAGGCTCCTGATGGCTTTGCGCTTATGAGCGCTGAGGAAGAAGTGAAGGAGATGCAGGCCATTTCATTTTTGACTGAGAATCGCTTCCCGCCGACTATTGCAATCCTGGACATTGGATGCACTAGAGCTATGGGATCAAGGCGAGCAGTCGACCATTTTTGCAACTATGTCGACAATCATCCAGATTGTGGATTATGGTACACTTTTGAGTCTACCAAGAGCAAGTTTTACTTTGCCAATTCCCAGAAAGCTACTTGCTCTCAGAAACTGGTGATTTACATGTATGATCGTGCATGGACGATCCACCATACAGAGTTCGACATAGTGGAAGAAGGAGAAGTCCCTTTGCTTATGAGCTTGCCACAGATGAGGAACTTAGGCTTTGAACTCAGGCTGACACCTCAACATGCTTATCTGACATCGGTGCCTCTTGGCATCAAATATTTGGAGTTGAAGGTTGCAGCCAGTACTCATCTTGTCTTGGACTTCCAAGATATTGCATGGTATCTGTCTGACGTGAATTTGCAGACTCGGCGCGAGAAGAGTTTTTACTCTCACTTCACTCACTATGAATATGGTCATATTTCTGTTGATCACAATAGTGATGAAGATGTAGCTGAACATGCATATCCTGTGGTTGACTACTGGGAAGTAGATGTTCACAAGAGAGAACTGATACGTCACCACAAGGATTATAGAAAGATTCTTTTTCCAGCAACTAAGTCCTGTCCTGTAGACACTGACTTACTGGAAGACTTGCGACTGACAATCATCAAGAAGAAGAACGGTGGAGAAGAGATCAAGAAGCAAGATGATTGGCGTAAGGCAAAATGGAAGGACCTACAAATTGGCTATGAATGGCGTGGTAGAACAATTTTTAAGTTCAAACCAGATGCCAAATTTCCAGATCTAAAGATCAGGAAGGCTGGCATTGAGCACCGTGGCATTGGTGATCCCGATGCAGTGGTGCGCTCCTCCTCAGAGAAGGTTCCCATTGCAAAGGACAGGGAACCAGGCTTCTCGTCAGAGAAGGAAGGTGCACCATCAAGTGCCGCGGAAAAGCCCGTGCCGCCAAAGTTTCGGTATACTTCCAAGGGTTTTGATCCATTTTGGAAAGGACACAAGTCGAAACCATCTGAGCCTCAGAATGATTTAAAGGGTGATGATCTTGAGGAGTACGCTCCATCAGAACCACCTGAGAGGCCAGAAGGTGAACTTGTAGAAATTCCTAAAGCATCAAAAGGACCATCAAGTGATAAACATGAACCACTTGAACCAGGTGATGGCGCTCTTGAGCCTAGGCGGATTTCAATCCCATTACCTGGTAGTGAAGTTGTTGCAATGACACCGGCATATAGGAAGATGTTACAGAGACTGGAGGACACGGTAGAGCTTTATAAGCTTCATGTGAAGCACTACCATATGAGTCCTACTCAGTTTCGTAGACGTGTTTCTATGTTGAAGCTTCCTGACTCTGTTTTAGAGAAGTATGAATCAGTTGTCAGGAACTGCCGTGTTTGTAACACTTCAGTGGCACCTCCGCCACGAGCCAGAGTCTCCGGTATTAGAGCTTCATGTTTTGGTGATGTTGTTTTTGCTGATCATTGTGAGGTTGAACTTCACAAGAACAAGTATATCATCTTACTTGTTCTTGATGGTGCCACAAATCTTCTCTGGGCTACGGCGCAGAAAGACCTCATAGATCAAACCACCATCCAAGCATTGAGGCAGTGGTCTGATGAGAACAACTGTGTTCCGAAGGCCATCGTAGGAGACGAAGCCTTTTTCACCGATGCTTTTGTTGAATACTACAGGTTCCATGGTATACAACAATGTCCTTGTGGGCCAAGAACTCCTTGGCCGAACCGAGCAGAGACAGCTGTACGTTTGTTCAAACGTATGTGGCATGTTATGAAGGTAGATCTGGATGACCCACGTTTTCGTGGTGTTACGGTCAGAGAAGTGGTCAAGAAGGTAGTTTGGGCAAGAAATTGTCAGTTGACTATCAGTGGATATTCACCAATAGAGATAGCAACTGGAAGACGTCCACCAGATCTTTTTGACCTTGAGACTGCAAGCCCTGAGCAATTGTCAGCTAATGCCGCCGCACAAGATCGTACAAATTTGGAACTACAACGTGTGGCTTTGAGAGCTCATCAAGAAGCACGACAAGCTCAGGACCTTCGAGCAGATCTTGCAAGAAGGACTATGCCAAGTGACGGTCCTTATTTCCAAGGAGAGAAGGTTTTTGTTTGGACTCAGGATTCATCAAA